CGTGCCCCTGCCCGACCACACTCACTGCCTTGGAGGCCTTTGTTTAACTCTCAAGCTTGGGCGTGCGTTTTCCTCCCAGGTGTCATGGAGTACATCCGAGAGATGAGAGACATCTTGTACGACTTGCAGAGCAGGGTCCAGAAAGCAAAATTAAACCTGGAAAATATCACCCAGCTGATGGAGGTAGCCCTCGTGGTGCTTTACGAGTGCCTTTCTGGGAAGCTTCCTGCGGGGATTTACACCTCCGAGCACAGCAGGGCAGCCCTGTCGTCTTTTCCCTGCAGGAGTGCTCGGCCGCTCCCTTGTTTGAAAGGAAAGACAACAAGGAGGCAGCGCTCTTGGACCTGGATGGGAAAGCAAACACCTTAACCAAGCGCTATGCTGCCATTAAGGACGCAGGCGTAAAGATCCAGGAGATGGTGGAGGTGAGACACGTCCTAGGTTGGTCGTCAGTCAGAGTTGGTTTAACAAGGATCGTGTCCGACAGCCGCGTGCTGCGACGGTCTGAAACCCCGTCTGTAACTGAGCGTTGGGCTCAAACCTGGGGTGCAATCCTCCGGTATCTGCTGGGACGAGGCTCCAGTGAAGGACCATGAAACACCGCACACGGACTCCAGAAATCCTCTGCCCTCTCGGCGTGAGCTCTTGGCTGCAGCTTCTGCTGTCGTACAGCTGGGAGAAGGGAAGGGTGCAGGATCTGTGCGACAGCCAGGCAGGGCAAAGCCGCAGGGAACGTGAGAGGGGCCTCACTCACAGTATTAGGAGCTGGCACGTTTGCTGGGTACTTATTGACAAATACCAGTCGGGTTTTTCTGCTTGCAGGAGAACGCAGATCTGTTTAAGGCTGACAAGTCATCGCAGATATGGCTGGACTATGTGGGATACGTAGATGGAATCGTGATGGATGGACTCTTCAGACTTGTCCACAAATCTCTGCAGCTCCTGCTCACCAACATGGTCCCTGAGGTAGGGCCAGCTCTGCCCTGCAGCGTGGTGCCCCTGCTTTGCCCGTGCTCGGGGTGTCCCACCGCTCGCTGTTAGTTTCTTTGGGCATTTGGTGGCCAAATGTGCCCATCCCGGTGCTCCCTGGCACCCCTGGGCAGGAGCTGGTGTCCCCCCTCATCACTGCCGGGGGGGACCGTGGGGCTGGTGGCCGGGGGGCTGCGGGACGTGAAGCACCACGTGGGGCACTGATCTCTTTCAGGCCAACGTGGCACCATTGTTTGAGGTGTGCATGGAGCTGTGTGACGGCAGAGTGCGGTACCGTCCCTCGCTGGAGACAGGTGACAACAACAATTTCTTGGAGCTGATGGAAAGCCTGCTCGGCAATATCTACGCGTCCACGGCGTGCATACCTCGGCTGCTGGAGGGGAAGCTGAGCTACAAGGTTGGTCCATGGTGGGTGGCACCTCCCGGCTCAGCTGGCGGGGGGTGAGGATACCCAGTCCCCTGAGCTGGTCCCTGAAAGCTCTGCCCATCCCTTAGACCACCCTGGAGGAGCAGGCGGACCTCAGCAGGATGCGGGAGGAGGTGGTGTCGCTGGTTGTCAGCGCCATGACGGAAGGCGAGGAGTACAGTGCCGGCTTCGAGGAGCAAGCCCACCTGTGGCTGGAGGACCCCGCAGAGTTCCTGCAGCGCTTCCTCACCTTGGGCAGTGCCCCCGGCCCCGAAGAGCTGGAGCTGCAGCCAGAGGAGACCCCGTCCCACGGGACCCCATCCCTCCGGGTGCCCCGGAGGACTCCAGGTGCCCGGGGGGGTGCTGGGTGCCTTGGGGGGTGCTGGCCATGGGCTATGACCAGCTCTCATTCCTAGATCGACATGTGCGAGGCACTGTGCGAGGAGGTGTCGGAGTTTGCGAACACCGAGGTGTTTGGGGGGTGGCTGCAGAGCGACTGCCGCCCCTTCAAGCAGGCGCTGCTGGGCGCCATCAGGCAACGGGGTCTGGTGCTCCGGCAGCACCTCGCCAGACATGTCACCACCAGGTAGGTGAGTCCTGGCGTGGGGATGGGGTGCTCCCGCTGACCGGAGCCTGGCTGGGCTGTGGCGATGGCACCGGTGTGTGCTGGGAGCCATGCTGCAGAGCGAGCCCCAGGCTAGCACAGGGGCGGCTGTGAGCCCTGTCAGGGACACCCCGTGAGTGCCACCACCTTCCTCCCAGTCTGCAGGAGCTGTCTGATTTCATCCAAGAGGTGAACGCTGGTTTGAATAAGCCTCTGGAGGAGGGAGACTATGATGGGCTGGTGGAGGTGATGGGGCACCTGATGAGGGTCAAGGAGAGGCAGGCAACAACTGACCACATCTTTGAGCCCCTGAAGGAGACGGTTGCCCTGCTCAGCACTTATGGAGAGGAGATGCCGGAGGAGATCCACCTGCAGCTCCACGTGAGCTGCTCAGGGTGCTGGGGACCGGGTGCAGGCTCCCTGGGGCCAGGCTGCTGACACTGTGGGGTGCTCGTTGCAGGACCTGCCCGAGCACTGGGACAGCACCAAGAAGCTCTCCCTGCGCGTCAAGCAGAGCATGGCACCCCTGCAAGCCAATGAGGTCAACATCATCCGCAGGAAGTGCCAGCAGTTCGAGGTGCCTCCCCCGCAGCTTGGGGACAAGCGAGCAGCTTCTCAGCAGCTTTGGGAAGCCCCTGCTGCCCTCCCCGCCTGCCAGCTCCCAGCTGCCCTCCCTGAGCCCCGTCCACCCTGCACAGGTCTGGCAGCACGCCTTCCGGGAGAAGTTCCGCGAAAAAGCCCCTTTTTCGTACACTGACCCAGATCCCTACAAGTCCTTGAACAAGGTAAGGAAGGGGAGGATGCCAGGGCTGCCACTGTCCCCGCCGGCACTGCCCGGCCGCCCCCGGCCCCATGCACCACTACACAGGGGGGCTGGGGAGGGGCAGCCGCTCCCGCTCACAGCCCCACAGGAGCCATCACTGGGGGAGGAGATGTGTCCCTGGCTCACGGTCCCTGGCTGAGACCTTCTCTTTTTCTCTGGCCAGCAACAGAAGAGCATCGCCGCCATGGAGAGTGACATGGCAGCCCTGTCCAAGTCAGCCAGGCTGTTCGAAGTGTCGGTCCCAGCGTATAAACAGCTCAAGGCGTGTCACAGGGAGGTGTGCTTGCTGAAGGAGCTCTGGGACATGATCATCCTGGTACGTGACGCAGTCTGTGAGCCAGCACGATGGGGCGGGCAAGGAGGAGGCAGGAGCATGGGGATGTAGAGAACAGGCTTCTGGGGTGTGCTGGGCTGGTCCTCACAGTTCCTGAGTTTTGAAGTTCCTGAGGCCGTGACAAGTTGCTCAGTGTCCGCAGACAGTAAAAAAGCCATCTGCGGTCGAGCACAGTGGCCGGGATCCCTGGGCTCGGTGCTGGCCCCTGTGCCAGGGCGCGATGCCCAGCGCTGCCTCCAGGCAAGGGTTTGACAGCAGACTGCTGTTGGCAGGCGTGGGCACCCGGCGTGGGCACCCTGCACCAGCCCGGCATTGCCAGCCAAAGGTGCAAAGTTGTTGTAGCTCCTCTGCGAGTCTCATTGCCAGGAGAGGGGGGAAAGGCATCCCTGGGCTCGGTGCTGGCCCCTGTGCCAGGGCGCGATGCCCAGCGCTGCCTCCAGGCAAGGGTTTGACAGCAGACTGCTGTTGGCAGGCGTGGGCACCCGGCGTGGGCACCCTGCACCAGCCCGGCATTGCCAGCCAAAGGTGCAAAGTTGTTGTAGCTCCTCTGCGAGTCTCATTGCCAGGAGAGGGGGGAAAGGCACGGGGCAGGTTGTCACAGCGTTAGAGCAACGGGTGTGCGGGCGCATGGCGGGTGTGCGGGCACGGGGTATGCTGCTCTTCATCCTGGGCAGCAAAGCTTCGGCTAATGACATGTCCTGTGAAAATGTGATCCTGAACTCAGGTTAACACAAGTATTGATGACTGGAAGACCACCAGGTGGAAGGATATCAATGTTGAGCAAGTGGATATCGATTGTAAGAAATTTTCTAAAGACATTCGGAGCTTGGATAAGGAGATGAGAAGTTGGGATGCATTCACAGGGCTGGACAACAGCGTGAAGAACATGATAACGTCCCTGCACGCCATGAACGAGCTGCAGAACCCGGCCATCAGGGACCGG